CATGATGGTGCTGTACGATCGAGCCCGTGTAGGCCCCACCATGAAAACTTCGGACGAAATCTCTATCATATGTTTGTTCCGGCTTATTCTGCAAGCCAATCCTTTGTTTTTTGTTTTGAGTTGTGTCATTCAAGTTGCTTCGAAGTCAAATGTTGATTCCATCCCTTCCGGTGGTCCCGGTACAATACCGATCACCCCGAAAACCTTCCCGATGGCTGAAACTTGACTTCCTATATACAAATCTTCACCTCCGGACCATTCCGGAACTCCTCGTGACATCCGGGATCTCATCTGGGACTCCGAACAACTTTCGGGTTACCGTATACTAATATCTCAACAACCCTAGCGTCACCGAACCTTAAGTGTGTAGACCCTACGGGTTCGGGAGACACGCAGACATGACCGAGATGACTCTCCGGTCGATAACCAACAGCGGGATCTGGATACCCATGTTGGCTCCCACATGCTCCTCAATGATCTCATCGGATGAACCACAATGTCGAGGATTCGATCAATCCCATATGCAATTCTCTTTGTCAATCGGTACGTTACTTGCCCGAGACTCGATCGTCGGTATCCCAATACCTCGTTCAGTCTCGTTACCGGCAAGTCACTTTACTCGTACTGTAATGCATGATCCCGTGATCAACCACTTGGTCACATTGAGCTCATTATGATGATGCATTACCGAGTGGGCCCAGAGATACCTCTCCGTTATACGGAGTGACAAATCCCAGTCTCGATTCATGCCAACCCAACAGACACTTTCAGAGATACCCGTAGTGTACCTTTATAGTCACCCAGTTACGTTGTGACGTTTGGTACACCCAAAGCACTCCTACGGTATCCGAGAGTTGCACAATCTCATGGTCTAAGGAAATGATACTTGACATTCGGAAAAGCTAGAGCAAACGAACTACACGATCTTTGAGCTATGCTTAGGATTGGGTCTTGTCCATCACATCATTCTCCTAATGATGTGATCCCATTATCAATGACATCCAATGTCCATAGTCAGGAAACCATGACTATCTTTTGATCAACGAGCTAGTCAACTAGAGGCTCACTAGGGACGTGTTGTGGTCTATGTATTCACACATGCATTACGATTTCCTGATAACACAATTATAGCATGAACAATAGACAATTATCATGAACAAAGAAATATAATAATAACCATTTTATTATTGCCTCTAGGGCATATTTCCAACAATGTCTTCCATGCTACACACATTATAAGCGGTTCCCAAACAAAATGGTAAAGTTTATACTCCCCCTTCCACCAACAAGCATCAAACCATGGTTTGCTCGAAACAACGAGTGCCTCCAACTAACAAGAGTCCCAGGGGGAGTTTTGTTTGCAATTATTTTGATTTAGTTTGCATAAAGCATGGGACTAGGCATCCCAGTGACCAGCCACTTTCTCGTGAGTGAGGAGCGGAGTCCACTCCTCTTGAGAATAACCCGCCTAACATGGAAGATACGGACAGCCCTAGTTGATACATGAGCTATTCGAGCATACAAAACAGGATAATTATTTGAAGGTTTAGAGTTTGGCACATACAAATTTACTTGGAACGGCAGGTAGATACCGTATGTAGGTAGGTATGGTGGACTCATATGGAATAACTTTGGGGTTTATGGAGTTGGATGCACAAGCAGTATTCCCGCTTAGTACGGGTGAAGGCTAGCAAGAGACCGGGAAGCGACCAACTAGAGAGCGACAACAGTCATGAACATGCATTAAAATTAATCAACACCGAATGCAAGCATGAGTAGGATATAATCCACCATGAACATAAATATCGTGAAGGCTATGCTGATTTTGTTTCAACTACATGCGTGAACATGCGCCAAGTCAAGTCACTTAAATCATTCAGACGAGGATACCACCCTATCATACCACATCACAACCATTTTAATAGCATGTTGGCACGCAAGGTAAACCATTATAAGCTCCTAGCTAATCAAGCATGGCACAAGAACTATGATCTCTAGTTGTCATTGTAAAAGTAATGATAAAAGTGAGCACAAATGGTATTGCAATGCGTTAAAACAAGGCCTAGAGTTCATACTTTCGCTAGTGCAAGTTCCCTCAACAATAATAACATAATTGGATCATATAGCTATCCTTCAACATGCAACAAAGAGTCACTCCAAAGTCACTAATAGCGGAGAACAAACAAAGAGATTATGGTAGGGTACGAAACCACCTCAAAGTTATTCTTGCCAATCAATCCGTTGGGCTATTCCTATAAGTGTCACAAACAGCCCTAGAGTTCATACTAGAATAACACCTTAAGACAGAAATCAACCAAAACCCTAATGTCACCTAGATACTACAATGTCACCTCAAGTATCCGTGGGTATGATTATACGATATGCATCACATAATCTCAAATTCATCTATTCAACCAACACATAGAACCTCAAAGAGTGCCCCAAAGTTTCTACCAGAGAGTCAAGACGAAAACGTGTGCCAACCCCTATGCATAGGTTTATGGGATGGAACCCACAAATTGATCACAAAACATACATCAAGTGGATCAATAGAATACCCCATTATCACAACGGGTATCCCACGCAATACATACATCAAGTGTTCTCAAATCCTTAAAGACTCAATCCGATAAGATAACTTCAAAGGGAAAACTCAATCCATTACAAGAGAGTAGAGGGGGAGAAACATCATAAGATCCAACTGTAATAGCAAAGCTCGCGATACATCAAGATCGTAACACCTCAAGAACACGAGAGAGAGAGAGAGAGATCAAACACATAGCTACTGGTACATACCCTCAGCCCCGAGGGAGAACTACTCCCTCCTCGTCATGGAGAGCACCGGGATGATGAAGATGGCCACTGGAGAGGGATTCCCCCTCTGGCAGGGTGCCGGAACGGGTCTAGATTGGTTTTCGGTGGCTATGGAGGCTTCTGGCGGCGGAACTCCCGATCTATTGTGTTCCCCGATCGTTTTAGGGTATATATATATATATATATATATATATATATATATATATATATATATATATAGGCGGAAGAAATACATCAGGGGAGCCACGAGGGGCCCATGAGGGTGGAGGGCGTGCCCAGGGGGGTGGGCGCGCCCCCTGCCTCGTGGCTTCCTCGTTGATCCCTTGACGTGCACTACAAGACTCCTGTATTACCTTCTTTCCAAAAATAACTTTTCCAAAGGTTTCATTTCGTTTGGACTCCATTTGATATTCCTTTTCTGCGAAACACTGAAATAAGGGAAAAACAGAAACTGGCACTAGACTTTGGGTTAATAGGTTAGTCCCAAAAATAATATAAAAGTGTTTAATAAAGCCAATAAACATCCAAAACAGATAATATAATAGCATGGAACAATAAAAAATTATAGATACGTTGGAGACGTATCAACTGACCATATAGAACGAACTAATTTACAATGGAAGAATAAATGTTTTATTGTCTCATCATGCGGACAAAGACATATTGTGTACTTCCATACCAATTCCTCTTGATAAGGTTATCTTTAGTAAGAATGACTCCGCGACGAAGATACCATGCAAAGATTTTATTCTAAGAGATATCTTCATCTTCCAGATCTTTTTATTATTATCAACTAGCACATCAGTCTGGATCAAAGCTCTATACATAGAATCCATTGAGAATTTTCTATTCCCATGTAGGTTCCAATGAAATACATTGGACCCTTGTGACAACTGTACCATGGCTAACCGCTGGAGTAATATGTTCCACAATAGAAGACTAGGTTCAATTAAATCCCTTCTGAATGTCACATTTGGCGGAAATGATTTCAAAACATTGGCCCTTGTGACGCACAATATTGTATAGAGCAGGATATTGTTCCCGGAGTGTAGCATTACCTAGCCACTTATCCTCCCAGAATCTAATTTCGGAGCCATCCTTATTCGAGGATGAACCATAGCGAAAGAAATATTTTTTCGTTGCCATTTATCCCGCCCAAAAATGGGAGTCCCTAGGCTTCCAGTATATTTGTGATACCACCTTTGAACCCACATATTTTCTTCTCAGAAAGGTTTGTCATACACCATCTTCCGTCAATAACTTAAACAACCATTTAATGAGGAGGACCCTATTCTTTAACCTCAAAGTCAAGAATGCCCAACCCACCTTGGTCCTCGGGACGGCAAACAACTGTAGCCTAACTTAATGATAAGCTGATTTCAGGAATCAATAGCATAGCAAATGCTTAAATAAATGCCACGATGATTTCATGAATCAATATCTTGATTACACATTAAAATATTTTCCGTGCACTGGTCTTCATCCTCCATAAATCCCCCACGCAGTCGCTTTCTCATGTCAACAATCTCCCGAAAAGCCCACTGCACTGTACCTTAGCTTTCTTGTTCCAGTTCCTTGCTATACATGCCTGGAAAGCCATGGCCCTGCTACCCAACTTCGAAAGCTTCACACACACAAATTCGTAGTTCCATTTACAGGTAAGATTCCAAAGCTCTAGACGAATTCCCAGTACATAATATTATTGTTTTTCTTCTGCTAAAAAATACGTACATATTTTGTTTTTCTGATGTGCCACTCCATTGCTTGCGTGTGTGCAACGGCAAATCTTGCGGAAGAAAAAAGGGAAACAAAAGGAGCGACGCCACGCCATCCCCCTCTTCTCTCTCGCCGTGCGCGGGCGCAGTCAAACCCCCCACCGCCGAACCGCAAGGCGCACGCGGAAACGGGCCCAGAAGCGCCAGAGCCCCACCGGTCATGCACACGCGCGCGCGAACGGCCCCCGCCATGCCGTTACGTTGCGTTACGTTACCCGGCGGGCGACACAGTTACTGCTCCTCTACTCCCTCCCTGTCCGCCTGCCTCCCTCCGCGTGTAGGCTCTCTCCGCTGGCAGGGGTAGAGTAGAGTAGAGTAGAGTAGAGCGAGCGCCCTTCAATTCCCTCCAACCCAGCCGGGCAATGCCGTGCAAACCCTAGCCCCCCGCCCACCTGATCCCCGCGCGCGGCCATGGGCAACTGCTGCCGCTCGCCGGCCGCCGCCGCGCGGGAGGACGTCAAGTCCTCGCACTTCCCCGCCGCCGCCGCCAAGAGGAAGCCGCACCAGCCTCGGAGCGGCGCCGCGGGGGGCGCGGCGGCGGGCGGAGGAGGCGGAGGCGGAGGGGCGAAGCGGCTGGCCGTGCTGGGCGAGGAGGGGTGCGACTTCATCGGCGGGATCGACGACAAGTACCTGCTGGACCGGGAGCTGGGGCGCGGCGAGTTCGGGGTCACGTACCTCTGCGTCGACCGGGACACCAAGGAGCAGCTCGCCTGCAAGTCCATCTCCAAGCGCAAGCTGCGCACCCCCGTCGACGTGGAGGACGTGCGGCGGGAGGTGGCCATCATGCGCCACCTGCCCCGCAGCCACAGCATCGTGTCCCTGCGGGAGGCGTGCGAGGACGAGGGCGCCGTGCACCTCGTCATGGAGCTCTGCGAGGGCGGCGAGCTCTTCGACCGCATCGTTGCCAGGGGCCACTACACGGAGCGCGCCGCCGCCAACGTCACCCGCACCATCGTCGAGGTCGTGCAGCTCTGCCACCGCCACGGCGTCATCCACCGGGACCTCAAGCCCGAGAACTTCCTCTTCGCCAACAAGAAGGAGAACTCGCCGCTCAAGGCCATCGATTTCGGCCTCTCCATTTTCTTCAAGCCCGGTAACCCAACCTCCCCTGGACTGGAATCTTAGATCCGTTTCCCAATTTGGGAGAATCTGCATTTCTGGATGAATAAAAAAAACGTGGCGGGATTTATATTGGTTTAATGGACTCTCTTAGTCTTAGGTGGAGTGCTGGCAATGGACATCCCGGTAGCTGAATGCCGTTGCTTGGTTGGTGTCTCTTTCATTCAGAACTTAGGATTATCGGAAGGAATTTGGGTTGGACAGCGAATGCGACTGTAGCTAGTATTTTGAAGGCAGGATTCTGGAGTATCCAACCAAGTGGATAATGTATATGCATCGCCTTTACTCCGCTATTTGGCTTGATATGGCATTAGTTCAATGTCAACCCTCTATGCTGTTGGTTTAGCCTCGATTATTTGGTTTGCTGAACATCGTGTTGTGGGTTCTGTGTTTGGTGCTTTAGGTCCACGATCTAGGACGTCTCTAGTGTCAGCCTACTACTTCTAGGAATCGGAAGAAGCAAGTGGTGGAACATCAGTTGTTGCTAAATTTAGCCATTTTGCACTGATTACATTCAGTTCTTCAGTGTGAGGTGAGCTTGGTGGGCTGTACTTTAGGATAAATTATGTAACACTGAAATTATTACAGTTTAGGAAGGGATGCTGGATGTATCTACCATACTGACAGGGTCTGGATCTGAGAGCATGGCTTAATGGAGGAGAGGGGATTTTAGGACAAGGGGATGGATGGTGTGTCTTCCATTTTACTTAATTTTGGAGATACAATCCTGTCCTTTATCTTCATGTAGAGAATGCGTGTCGACCAAACCCTATGAGATAATGTAAGGAACCAACTCATACCAAATCTTATAGATAAGAAAAAGTAATTGTAATCTAGGAAGTACTATTCACGTTAGCAGTTCATCCTCACAGTGACACTTAAACACCAGTAGTGATCATAGCTTATCAAGTATGCTTACTGGTTGGGACTTAGGGTGTTGATGTGCTTTGCTGACGTCGAGTGGACCGTGGTACTGGGCGATTTACGCTCTCTGTCCGTCGCGCCATAGTCCGTTCCTGAAATAAAACATTGTAGCGTCGCTAGCAATGTTGTTGATATACAGCGATTGCACAGTGTGCCTTTTTGGACAGAAAGTGATATATTTTCATCTGAATCTTTCGTTATGTGTTAATTTTTTTCAGGTGAAAAGTTTTCAGAAATTGTTGGAAGCCCCTATTACATGGCTCCCGAAGTATTGAAGAGAAACTATGGACCGGAAATAGACATATGGAGTGCCGGGGTTATCTTATATATTTTACTATGTGGAGTTCCTCCGTTTTGGGCTGGTACTACACTAATTCAAACCTTATCTGTCATTGGCTTTGTGCCTTTATCTTTACTCTTCATGAAAGCTTACATGAAAATATTGCAGAGACCGAACAAGGGGTAGCACAAGCTATTCTTCGTGGGAATATCGATTTTAAGCGAGAACCCTGGCCTAATGTATCGGAAAATGCTAAAGATTTGGTTCGACGTATGTTGGAACCAGATCCAAAGCTCAGGTTAACTGCAAAGCAGGTTCTTGGTATGTACATGGCACACTTATGCTTCTTGCCTACTTCCCTGCAGAAACTATTCAGTTCAGTGGTCAGTAATTGCCACTGTAAAACTCCACATTTTTCATTTCTGTTCCTTCCAGAAATATAGCATCATGCCACAATCTACCCATGGAAATTTATGTCGGTGCCACTAGTCTCGTCTGGAATTATGGCCATGCCATTACTTTCTGTTTAATAATGAAAATTCCACAGTTCCGTTAGTTCTTTTTATGGTTTTGCCACTGCCATTGCATTTTAGCATTTACCATCCATTTTAGCCGTTAATGCAATGTGGAATGACCGAAACAGCACGGCCAATGTGCATTAATTAGCTGCCTGATTTGATGATCATGGTGGCTCTGAAGTAACTGTGAAGTTTCAAGTTTTTTCATGTACTACATCTATAACTCCGGAGTAATTGAATTTCAAGTTGTCATGTACTACATGTGTAAATCTGATATGAAGTACTCCCTCTGTCCCGAATTACTCGTCTTAGATTTGTCTACATTTTAGTGTTAGATACATCCGTATCTAGACAAATCTAAGACAAGTAATTTGGGACGGAGGTAATATTCGAGTTTCAAGTTACTCCCTCTGTAAACTAATATAATACCTTTTAGACCACTACTTTAGTGATCTAAAAGATCTTATATTAGTTTACAGACGGAGTACTTCATAAATACAGACTTGTTTGCCACACAAACTTGGTAACCAACCCTGAAATCTGTGTGTTGATTTTATCTGCCTATCTGAAGCACACGTTACAAATTCTTTTGTTGTGTCAGATAGTTTTCTGCATCGCAGAATCTATAAGCATAAACTTCAACAGAAGGGCACCTGAAATTTTCCATCTTAAAACTTGTGCTTAATCAGCTCTATTGTTTCGAATTCAGAGAGATCAGACACTTTGCCACCTAAGCGCACATGTTAAACAGAACATAGACCAATTTCAGTCATCTGGATGCGCATTATTACAGCTTGGGCATTTTATTATTTGTGCTACAACCTGAAAGAATGTTGGGGTCAAAATTGTGGTCTGCTTTGTAATGGAAAGGCTTCTTAAGCATCTTGTCTTTTTTGCCAGTATTTCTGAATTCTTATTTTCCCCTGGTTTGTTATACGTCCGTGTAAGTAATTTCATGACATCAACTTTTATTTCACAGAGCACCATTGGCTTCAAAATGCTAAGAAAGCTCCAAACGTTCCTCTTGGAGATATTGTCAAGTCAAGGCTTAAGCAATTTTCGAGAATGAATAGATTCAAAAGAAGAGCTCTAAGAGTATGCACCTAGCTCATTTAGCCTTTCCATCCTGGTCTGCTCAACTATTTTGCAAGTCATTGCTGTGGCAATTTACTTGTTGTGTGACATATATGGCGTATAATTTTTTACCAGGTCATTGCTGATCATTTGTCTGCTGAGGAAGTTGAGGACATAAAGGAGATGTTCAAGGCAATGGATACTGACAATGATGGCATTATCTCTTGTGAAGAATTGAAGAGTGGGATAGCAAAATTTGGCTCTCACCTTGTGGAATCAGAAGTGCAGATGCTTATTGAAGCTGTAAGTATTGCAAAGAGTTTAACCTTTATTCTCTACTCTTTATTTAAAAACATGAGGCAAGACATGTGTCTATTTTTCGAGAACACCAATTGGTGGCTAACAAGCCACATATTTTGGGAGCATTGCTATCGAAAGGAGTAAGTTCATGAAAGCACACATACTTTGACCAAACTATCAGCACGGCAGAACTATGTTATTCAGTTCAGTGGTCAGTAATTGCCACTGTAGTTCCGTGAGGTATGCCAAAAAATGCGGTCACCTGGCCCACTGAGCATCAATTCTGTGCCAAAATTCATCTCAAATATGGTGAATGGTTCATCTGCAACGAAATGTGTGTCAAACCAAACTTTTAAGTGTACGAAATAAACAGCCATGTGGTTTTGTGATAGTTTTGGTTAAACTATGCGTAGCTCCAAAAGATTTGATATACAACAAAGAACCACATAGCAAAGGCAATATCATGTATGCCCCAGGTGTCCTTGCCCTCTAGGTCTTTCATTTTCATTTGCCAGATCATCACGGAATTTCAGTGGAATGTTAAATGATCCCACAGCTAACAAATGTTCAAATCACTATGATGACTGTTTCATTTTTTGCATCCATTGTAGGCCATTCTCTTATATTCCACAGTATGGTAAATAAATGTGGTCGAATTAATTTAATTAGATCAGCAGTTTCAAAAACATTAAGATAGGAGGGCTCAAACTTGTGACCTCAACAGCTGTTTCTTAGTGCTTTTCCATGATGATAAACAACCTTTCTCATCAAATGTTCTGTTTGGGCTGTCCATTTCCTTCTGCCAGCTGCTTTTTAGATGCTATTCCATTGTTTAACATGTCAAACTTTGTATCTGGTGGTGATTTGGTGCAACTATTTGACTTAGCCCCTTAGTTGCTCATGTATTTTACATTCAGTGTACAGCTTGATGTGTTTGACATTTCTCGCCAGACTAGAAATGAAAATTCCCAATGGATATTTATTCTAGCTCTCCACTTGGCCTAGGTTAATGTGACTCATTCCCTTCTAGCTGACAAAAGCTAGAGAAGCTAGTATTGAGTACTCATTCCATTTAGCAACCATAATGGTTTTGGTTTGCATCATTTGCATCAGACGTAGAGTTACTGTTTTAGTTTGTATCATCTTCATACTTACATGTAGCGGCCTTGTCCAGTTATTGACAGTGTGTCGACTCACTTTCTCATCCTGCTTGAAATAACTTATTGCCTCTCTGTTTGATGTTTGCCTGGTAATTTTACCTTGATTCCATCATTATATACTCTCCTATCAGTCTTATCATTAGACCATTTTCTTTTACCATGAGACATGCGATTTGTTGAGTTTTCTTGGGTGGATTGAGATTGTCAATTTATTTTTCCATGGTATCATGTGAGGGGTTATGTTTGTTTGAGTTGATGGTTGCAATTAGCAGCAGTATAACTATTTGGCACAGGGAGGGCAGTAGATAAAGCTGGGATAAATTCTCGGATTTACTCGCATTAGTTCGTATGGTATACTCAGCACGTTTTATTGACCACCTAATGGTTTGGTAAACAGGTGGATACAAACGGTAAAGGAGTACTAGATTATGCCGAATTTCTAGCTGTCTCTCTTCATCTGCAAAGGATGGCAAATGATGAGCACCTTCGGCGGGCCTTCTTATTCTTTGACAAGGATGGCAATGGTTACATCGAGCCGGACGAGCTTCGAGAGGCTCTGAAGGATGACGGAGCAGCTGATAGCATGGAAGTTGTGAATGACATACTGCAAGAAGTTGACACCGATAAGGTGACGATTCCCTTGTACTACCTCGTAAAGCCAGCATCGTTTCTGATTGACTAAAAGATGGTCTGCTTTTCTTGGCATCAACTGTAGGATGGCAAAATTAGCTACGACGAATTCGTGGCGATGATGAAGACGGGCACAGACTGGAGAAAGGCATCACGGCACTACTCGAGAGGCAGATTCAACAGCCTTAGCATGAAGCTTGTGAAGGACGGTTCCGTCAAATTGGGCGTGGAGTAAAAAACATGGTGTTTATTTGTGCATGTAGTTAGGCATTTGGGCCCCACTAAGCAGCAGCTCCTTTAGTTTTTGTCATGGTCGTTTTGCGTGGAAATTTAGATAGGTGGAACCCCCCCTGATTGGCTTACATGTGTAATTAGTTCTCGTGGATGAGTGGCAATGGCACGCGCGTGGTGACTGGTGAGCGATGTGCCAAGAGCATTGCGCCTGCTTTCTGAACTACTGATGCCAAGTGTTGTACTCCCTCTGTTCACTTATATAAGACGTTTTAGCAAATTCAGACAGTGTACTAAACAGTTCAAACCCAGCTGTCTGAAACACCTTATAAAAGCGAACGGAGGGAGTACAATGTTTTGCCGCACACAAATACAGTTTCTAGATTTGGTGTAGATGTGTCTGAAATAAGATGTGCCGGCTCAGTATCTCGGAGGTGTTGATACAGGTATGTGTGTGCATTCATAGAATTGGGTGTATGTGCGTGTATGTTAGCATCTATGACTGTGCTGTGTTAAAAAGAAGGTGCTGCCGTGTTCTCTGAAAAAAAAAGCAGTGTGCTAGCGAAAGAGACGCGACAATGTGCACCTAATACACAAGGTACAAATAATAGCAGATGCCGGAGACAATGTGCACCTAGTACACAAGGTACAAATAATGGCAGATGCCGTTCCATTTTCACTCAAGTTGTTCTTGTGCACCTAGTACACAAGGTACAAATAATGGCAGATGCCGTTCCATTTTCACCCAAGTTGTTCTTCTCCGATCGATGCTTTCGTAACCCATAAGCAGGGGACCGATACCATGCCGCAGGAGTTAAAAAAACCACGTCCGAAGCAGGGTTTCGCAATGCCGCTGGATGATCAGAACCCAGAAGTCGAGCATCAGCAGCGGAGCATCATAATAGGTAGTAGGGTGGGAGTGCTAGCAGGACGAAGAGTGATGCCGTTGAATTCGGGGGACAAGATCAAGCCGGGAGGCTCACGGCTCTATTATGTTAGTAAGCGTTTTTAGTAAGCGCATGCGGCCGGAGGTCAAAAACGCAACAGCAACAGCAAACAAAATGCATATATCCCAACCCGGTTCTGTCGCTCCCCCCTCCCCCCCGCCGCCGGAATAATAAACCAGTGCGGCGGCGGCGGCGGCGGCCCCGCTTTCCGCCACGGCATCATATAAAATATATCATCGTCTTTTGGTTTGGCGATCGCAACCCCCCGGATCGGCGGGACCTGTCGTGTGGTGCCGCCCGCGCACAGCGCCGTGGGCGGCTACGTGGAGCGCCTGCGCGGCACACACGCCTGACACTTGGTCGTCGAAAAAGCGGCCGGAGATAGACAGATAGTAGATCATTAGATAGATATCCGGGGCGAGCTACGTGGCCAGATCCACGGACCCTGGCTGCCCTAGAAATAGATTAGTGTCGTTGTAGAGTGAGCCACGTAAAACGATCAGGCTGATCAGGTCGGGGTCGCTGTCGCCCCGAGTTTGTTCCACCAGCTGCATTGCGCCTCAAGAGCGGCGATCCGCTGGCTGGATCGACGCGATTGTGATCCCGCGCGTGGCCGATAGCGAGGCGAAAGATACGGAGCACAGCAGCAGCAGCAGCAGAGAATTCGGGGCGATGGCGCGTGCGGCGCGCCGCTAAATCGCCGGCGGGGGAAAGCGCCGCGTCGCGTCGGCAGCGCGTCTCCCTCCGTTCGCACCAACGGACTGACGGCTGGCGGTGCCCCGCGCGCGTTTGCGGCGCTGCACCGGCCGGGCGTACATCCACGTGCGTGAAATGTGACGGGAAGAAGATCGGCCGCTCCTACCTGCTCCTGCTCGCGGCTGCGGGAGAGCGACGCGGCTGCCCCATTGCGGCGGGGATACGGCGCGGCGGCGATGATGCCCCCTGCCGACAGTTGGAGACTGCGGGTCTCGTCGTGTTGTGCCTACGTGGTGGGTTTGTCAGGGCAGGGCGGGGCGCATGATTAATCAGTCTCCCCAATCATGCAATGGGACCTTCATTAACTGAAGAAACAGCGGCTTTGTGTTTGTGGACGGGGGCCGACCTGGCCGGCCGGCCGGCCTTGATCGCCCCAGCCTCCCAGTTTTTTTTCTTTTAGGGGACCTCCCAGGGTTTTTTAGGGTTTGTCTATAAGCACTTGGCCCTACAGAAATCGAAGCAAATTTTTCTGCCCCAGTCCCAACAAATAAACAGATTGTTTTCTTATTTATTATTAAAAACGCAAAAAAAAAACATACTACTCCTAAGGGCATCTTCAAGGCTGACCCGCAAATATGCTTAGCATCCATCCACGGACCAGTCCGCGGAAACTGATGCGGAAGCTGGCGGTTCAGCACTGCCCGCATACATCCCGTCCCAAATATTTTTTAGCCCGCACACTTAACTAGCCGCATATGTCTATGAAGAAAAATAATTAAGTATAGGAAAAAAAATCCCAAACCAACTCACTATTGGCCCACCATAAGAAACTGGGCTAGAATCATCACTTTTAGTGAGCCTTTTTCTGGCCAACTGGGTTAGAGATAATGTTGATAAAGATAGCCCACGAAGGATAGATACTGTTAACCAGATAGTAACCCATGTTGTACTTATGCCCATTAACAGTATAATAGCATGGAGGAGCTTTTCATTCAGTTAGTCTCGCAAACAACGGTGATCGCTGCAGCACACTGATGTCATTCTGAGACCTGGACATGCAGCAGCTTCAAGAATGATGGTGTGCTTCTTAACATGCCCGTGATATTGCCCTTGTAGAGCTTTCGGGGAGTTCTTTCATTTTTCAATGCATGCAGTCAAGAGATCCGAGCAAACCTGACAACCCTCTTGCTTCCGAGATTGCCAAGAGCCTCTCGGTGTCCGTGACATTTGGTTCTTTCAGGTATTGAGGTACAAACACCGAGACCACGACAGTTGAGGACCTGACCATGGCATCTCCGCATGTGCTCTCACACATTCATAGGTACTCGTCCCATGAATCAACGGCCGTGCCTTATGCAAGAATCTGCAATGTGGCTGTGCACTTCTGGTAACCAGAGAATCCAACCCTTTCGACGGCGTCCTTCTTCAAGATGAAGTAGTCATAAAAACCCGACCCCCATAGTAGAGACGATCGCAGACATTTTTGCGCATCTGAAACCGCCGACGAAAATTGTTCGCAAAGAGGGTATCGGGAGCAAAGTAGTCAGACATCAGCGTCAAATGCCCGCGCGCCCTGTTGCGCACGAGCACTTGATGACCCTTGATCGATCCCTTGAAATTGGGAACATGTGTTTCCGTGCGCACCACGTCTGCAAGGACTGCCTACATCACCGCCGTCTCATTCGTGTAGCCCTCCTCGTCGGACGAGCAGTTTAACGACTCAACATAGTGCTCGTATATATGTACTCCATACCCAAATCCATTGCTTCAAATAAGAAAGGCCAAAAAATTTAGCACGGGCATTTCACCGAGCAGTTGCAAGGCATGGTGAGTACCGTAGGAGCCCGCGCGGTGGTTGGAGGAGAGGTGTGGAATGGTTGCGGAGAAGTAGTGGCTTGGATCCTGGGTGTACAGCTGGAGGTTACAGACCCGTCGAGTACCGACAAGGGTGTGCCTGGGCGGCCGGGGTGGTTGAGCGGCGGCGAAGGCAAGAGAGAAAAAGGGAAATAGAGAATATGGGAGGTGGAGGCGCGTTGTCTAGGAGGGTTTTGGGTGGGCCGAGGGTGTCGGAGTCCTACGTGTGTGCTGTCCGGACTTCGGCAAAGTCCCCAGCTTGTCTTGGGTTTGCTAGTAAAAATACGTCCGGACCGCTCAACGGACTGATACAGACCCGCCATAGGGCATCTACAACGGAGGCTCTTAGACCAGGCGCTAGGGTTCGATTCCCAGCCGTTACGGTCTAATCCCGTTCGATGCTGGGATCTTGGCTAGCGTCGATGCCAACTGAGTCGCAGCAGTGATGGTGGGTGTCGGTGTCAAAACCGGTGGATCTCGGGTAGGGGGTTCCGAACTGTGCGTCTAGGCCGGATGGTAACAGGAGGCAAGGGACACGAAGTTTTACCCAGGTTCGGGCCCTCTCGATGAAGGTAAAACCCTATGTCCTGCTTGATTAATATTGATGATATGGGTAGTACAAGAGTAGATCTACCACGAAATCAGAGAGGCTAAACCCTAGAAGCTAGCCTATGATATGATTGTTGATGTGTATGTTGTCCTACGGACTAAAAACCCTCCGGTTTATATAGACACCGGAGAGGGTTAGGGTTACATAGAGTCGGTTACAATGGTAGGAGATCTGAACATCCGTATCGCCAAGCTTGCCTTTCACGCCAAGGAAAGTCCCTTCCGGACACGGGACGGAGTCTTCAATCTTGTATCTTCATAGTCTAGGAGTCCGGCTATCCGAACACCCCCTAATTCAGGACTCCCTCAGTAGCCCCTGAATCAGGCTTCAATGACGACGAGTCCGGTGCACAGATTGTCTTCGATATTGCAAGGCGGGTTCCTCCTCCAAGTACTTTATAGAAGATTGTAAACACAAAGATAGTGTCCGGCTCTGCAAAATAAGTTTTCCACATATTGCCATAGAGAGAATAATATTTACACAAATCTAATCTGCTGACATATTCCGTAGTGCGACACACCACGACCAAGCTTTTGTCCGAGTCGTTTCATTATCCCACCTCAGCGCGTCATGCGAGGCGGTTTCCTTGGCACGTCTTGTCAAAGCAGAGATCGTGTCCCCTTATTCCGGGATTCTCATCGATACGGGCGTGGGTAACCCAACCGCTTCTAGGACTCCTAGATCATAGGCAAGTCCAAACGAACACGGAGAGGACGCTCGATATCCACCCTCTTTATAAAGGGACGAGGCCTTTTATTTTTCCCTCCCGTGCTCAATCGAATCCTTCCCCCACCTCAAGCTCAAACGCCCAAAGTTCAGGTCAGGTGCTCCGAACCTTCAGTCATGTCCGGATCTAGCCTTCAAGGCCGATGGGTGCCTTCTTCCGTCACGGAAGAA